ATCCTAAAAAACTAGCCAGAAGACTTTTGTGGATTCCTTTAAGGTGTAGCAGGTGGAAAACTTGATTAGTTTAAAAACAGGCAACCTGGATGAATTTTCACATCTAAAGGCCAGACAATAGGAAGTTTGAGTAATTCTTTAAAAAGCTGAATAGAAGGCTAGGTGAGATAATAGAATGATAAGATTTGGGTTACCCTCCACCCGGCAGTGAGAGAGACTGCAAAAACAGCCCTTTTGCTTTTAATCAGACAGTAGTCAAGTCACTTGACTTCAGGGGAATTTTTTCACCCTGGTGCAGTGCTTGCTTGTCAAGGCAGGCAGGCCTTGTGCGGCCTAGGCAGTCCAATTGTAAGCTGAAAGTTGCTCAGAATATTTTGATATTATGGTTATACAAAAAAAGGGAGGTCATAACATAAGTTAGCGTGGAAAGTCTGATTTTTTCAGAGCAATTCCCCTCCATCCGGACCGTGTCTGACGACAGAGGTTGCATAGCTCGTGTCACTGGTCCATGCTCACTGGCAGCCTTAAGGCCTTCGGACTGCTCTTCAAAGCATGTGAGCTGTTGAAAAGGAGCCATCCACGTTTGCATCTGGAAAGTAATTTGGGGTTGCTCTGGGCCACTGGTCCAGGTGCAGTGAATGCCATGCTAAGGGCGACATAGGAACAAGTTAGGACATGTTCAGGTGTACGTTCAGGGTGCCCTTGAAGATGACATAGTGGAGATGAAACGAGGTCAGAGTCAAGCTGGACCCTGCAAGCTGGAGTGTCCCTGCTGGATTGACACTGCCGGTGATGTCTGCCCTGCCAGGGGCCCCGGACCACGCTTTGGCCCTTCGTCAGGCCGCTCTGGTTTGTGCACCTAAGAAGAGGGCTGTGTCCCAGAACCAGCGCATCCAGTAGGGAGCAATTTTTTCCGTATTTGTGTTTCTTTAATCGATATAATTATATGTTTTATTAGTGAGTCTAGGAAATAAACATTGTTTTTGAGGTTATGATAGATCCTGAATGGAAGTGTACCCACTGTGACTAATTATTGCAGTTTTTATAGATTAGACTTATTTTGGAATACTACAATTTGGAAATCCTTCAGTTACCACAGTACATATTTAGAATCACCTAAATCTTATTTATCTGATTAAGGTAACACTTGTTTCTTTTTCCTTTGCTTTCCAGTGAAGGTATATTTTTAGTTCTGTTAATTACAGATGACATGTGCTTTTGTAATTTGTGGCAGCAAATAAAATTAGCCAGTTTCTCAGTTTCTTACCATGACAGGCTATTAATGAGAGAACTTGCTCACCCTCAAAGCACATCCGAGTAAGTTTGATTGAGCAGTGTTAATCTATCTCCCCAACTCCCCTCCTGCCCCCCCCCCCACACACAAAGAACATTCCGACGTGGTCTCAGCCCTCTAGATAGCAGTTAGAACATTTCAGAAGAGACAGACCTTAAAGAAGGCCTCTGGATCCTTCCTACACCTTCCTTCCCTCCCTTCTCCACCTACCCTGGTAGGTTTGGGGGCTCCCCTTGGCTCACCCAGCTGGGCAACCTATCAGTGGCAGGGAGCAGAAAAACGAAATGCTTGCCACTTTTCCAGAGCTTTGCCACTGAGCTCTGGTATCAGATGCCCTAACAACACTTAGGGATTCAGCTGCACAGGCCAGCATTTTGCAACAGAGGAAGAGAAAACCCAGTTCTACAGCTGCTGATGCCCTTGTCTTAAGGTTCCTTCCCTCCGAGGTCGGGATCCTTCCAAGGGAACCAATCCCCACAGGTAGGCAGCTTTCACAGGTCCCTCCAGGTGACCCCCAGGGCTGGTGTCAGGTATGGGAGTGGACGAACTCAAAGCCCTGGTGGTGTAATTAGACCTGCTGGGATTATCCTGAGCGGCAGAGGGTGACCGGCTGGTGGTGAGCGGTCATCTGGAACATACCCTTCAAACTTCTCCAAGTAAATTCTTACATCACGTAACGGTTGGGTAAAATCCCGTGCTGACACGTCACACAGGTGAACTCCTTGACAGGGAGGCGTCCACACAGATTTACTGTGCTTGACTGACCATCTTTTCCAGCTTGACCTTGTGTGCTTTTCTGTTGCGCTACTAACTTGGAGGGATGTATTTGAAGCCTGACTGCCTCTTGCTCCAAATTAAGCTTTTTCATCTGTTTGAGGGGAAAAAGTGAATGTGCCCTTGTGTTCCAGATAGTTTTCCCTGGCCCTTTACTGTTACTAACCAGGTGATGCGTGGCAGGTGATATTCTGTGTTATTCTGAAGAGGGGCTGGTCACTTTCGTAGGAGGCATCCTTCAGCAGCAGGTGAAAGAGCCCAGTGTTGGCGGGAGGGGCCATGTGGGCTCTGTCCTGGCTTCTGCTGTCCCGGGTGCCCTGGACAAACCCCTGGACTCCTTTAGGCCTCTCCCGCCACTCAAGCATGTTAACCCCTCAGGGCCCCCCAACTCTTATATTCTGCTTAAAATGAGTAAGCATTTATTGAGCACTTGCTGGATACGTGCATGGCATTTTACTGAGACTAGGCTGAAAAAGCTCAAGTCCCTGCTGTGAAGGAGTTTTAACAGTTCTTTTCTCTGACTTGAACAATAGGGGATGCTCCCACATGGGGAGCACAGTGTGAAAGAGCCCCCTGGTGGCCCCACCAGCAAATTTGATGAGGAAGCAAAACTTCTCCCTCCTACACGGTGCCTTTTTGCCCAAGTTTATCATCTAGTGTGACATGGTTTTACTGTAAGGGGCCAGACTAAATATTCTAGGCCCCGGGCTAGGCTCGCTCCCAGGCCTCCCTGCGGTTGCTGTGAGAAGGATACAGACAGCAGGTGTGGACAGCATGTAAATGAGTGGGCGTGGCTGTGTTCTAATTAAACTTGATGGGGGCAGCTGCTGACTATACACCTGCACAGTTACACCTGCCTGCAACACACCTGCACGTGGCCAGGGGTCACCAACAGGGACCCCACCTGCAGCGTCTCACTAGCAGAGAACTCATGGGGGATCTTCTTGTTGCTGGGCTTGTTTTACCGGTAGCACATTCAGAGCTCTCCACTAGGGAGTTAAACTAACTGCCAGCAGTTTCCAGGGGCTGCCAGAGCCAGGAGAGCTGATGTTTGCTGCCTTTGTCTTAAGGGACAGACACTGCTGTCTACACAGAGGCTCTCTGATTGAGGTTGACCCAACAAATCCAGCTTGTGCCAGTTTTGGAAACCACCACAAACCCTTACCTTGTCTATCCCCCAGCCTTTCCAGAATGTTCTAAATAAGGCAAGAGCACTGTCTGACTGCCTTGTGCTGAGATTTTGTTGGCAGAGACTCTGTGGGGTTGCCGAAGGCAAGTCATGAGGAATCATCCCAGGAAGTTCTTGTCGAGGCTAAATCAGGGTGAATGTGCCCTCTTGGTACATGGCTGGTTCTAGAAAAGCAGTTAGGGTAGAAACGAATATTTTCTATTTGTCCTGGGAAATTGTGGTTTCCACTCAAGCACGGACTGGGGTAGGGGTGGTATTTGCTTCAGACTCAGGTGTTTCAGCAAGCCACGCTTAGGGCTTTGTTTCGTTTGCAGGCAGGGGTGATATCCAGCCGCAGCTGGACAGTGCGCTCCAGGATGTCAACGATAAGTATCTTCTATTGGAAGAAACAGAAAAGCAGGCTGTCCGGAAGGCCTTGATAGAAGAACGCGGCCGGTTCTGCACTTTCATCTCCATGCTGCGGCCAGTGATTGTAAGTGGAAAGCTTGGAAGTTAAACTGCTAGCTTGGGGAGACTCCCCTTCTTTATTTTTCCACGTGTCATTGGGTCATTGAGAAGCTGCTGTGTTGGGACTTGTGATGCAGGAACTGTTTGTCCAGAACTGACAGCTCGCAAATCACAGCTGACTTTTTCTCCCCAAGTCAAGAAGGCCTTGCAAACTGGTTCTCCAACTATGGTCAACCCAGGCCAGTAGGAGCCCCCTGGGAACTGGTTAGAAATGCATATTCTTTGGCCCTGCCCAGACTACTGCATCCCAAACTGAGGGTGGGCTCCAGCCTTCCGGTGTTTTAAACTAGCCCTCAGGAGACCAAGCCTGTTCTCAGAGCGGCCATGTGATTAATTTGTGAAGCGCCTCAATGAATTAATTCAGACTTATTTTTTAAATACATCTGTGGTTGTTCTTAAAACTGAGAAGGCCCAGCCCACTTCCCTCCATGCCAGCAAAATGCTCAAATATGAGTTGTTCACCTGAGCATAGAACTTTTGGTGCCCGGTCTTGCCACAGCCCCACCGAGGCGCTCTGGTAAAATGTATGACTTTTTCTTCCATCGTCGCCATCCCTATTTGATGTGCTGTGTTTATACCAGTGGGGAAAATAAGAAGGAAGAAGTTGCATCCACTGAACACATGATCACAAAGATCTGCTGTCAGGACTTGACTAGAATATCCCCAAGCCCTGTCATCTGTTGATGCTGGGCAACTTCAGATTGAGCCTTAGCCCATGCAGGGGCCTGTGCCCCAAGATCCCATTAGAATGCACAAACAGACTGTGGGTGGGCATTCGCACCCACCCACCTGCAGGGAGCCTGCAGCTTCACGCTGACTTGCTCGCTACTGTCAGGGTGCAGACATCACGCCTTAATTATGGAGATTTCTTTTTTCCTATCATGTTGCAAAGACCAGGTTGGCATTGCTTTCATCAAGGATGAACCAAGCCTAAGGGGCCTTTTCTGAAAGGTTGAAAGGGGTAGACACTGACCACAGTAAAGTAGCTGGCCACGTTGATGAAGTGTGTCTCTCATGATCACGTGTTGTGATTATTTTCCTTCAGGAAGAAGAAATCTCAATGTTAGGGGAAATCACTCACCTTCAGACCATATCGGAAGATCTGAAGAGCCTGACCATGGACCCACACAAACTGCCCTCTTCAAGTGAACAGGTAGGAGTTGTGAGTTAAATGTGCAGAAGAAAACCAAAGGGATCTAAGATCTTGAGGGTTCCAGGAGGCCTGTCCCCTTTAAAGTGACACCTGTCTTTCCATTCTGACTCGTGGTTATGGTCCCCTCTGGTCTCTACAGAGCCCCAGCTGTGGGGCAGGCATTGTTAGCTTCCCAGAAGCTCTTTCCACAGACCCTCCCGTCTATCGCCATGTTGTAGAGCAGGATGCAAAGATCCTGGGACGAAGTCCCCGGTAGTAAGTAGCCTGGCGGTTGAAACAAAGCTGTTCAATCCGAGAGCCTGTTCCCTCAATCACGATGCTCATCTGCTCTTAGAAACAAACTCAGAAATTTGACAGTGTGTCGGTTACCACTGTGAACCATCCACGTGAAACGGCTCCCCTCTAATCAAACAACATAGGAAGGTCTTGCTCATCTTACAAAAAAAGAAATGACATTTTTTATGCTTACTCATTTGGTTCAGTGACATTAACACCATGGGAAGTGTTGGTGGCTAGAGATGCTTTTGGTGGGATAGCTGACATATCACATGGCTCTTTGTGGTTCTGTGAGACAAAAGCCCTAAATTTTAACCTTAGTTATAGGCTTCTGTAAGTTGTTAATCTGTCATTATAAACCCCTGTGGCTTTGACTCTCATTTAAGATTTTCCTATTGCTCTTTTGTTCATCTTAGAAAAATGATTGACGAGCTGGTAGTTCATTAAAAATCAAAATGGAACACCTTTTCCTTTAACCCGACTCCTTGACGGAGGCCGAGTGTTGACCGGGCTGTGACGGGTGTTAAGATGTAGCTGAGGTAGTTCTTTCCTTCCCAGCACAGTGCTAGCTCACTGTCTCTGTTTCCTCAGGTGATTTTGGACTTGAAAGGTTCTGATTACAGTTGGTCATACCAGACACCTCCCTCGTCCCCCAGCACCACCATGTCCCGCAAGTCAAGCGTCTGCAGGTAAGTGAAGCTGGTCTCTGCTCCTGCCTTCAGGACCCGTCTCTGTGCCGAGCTGAGTGACAGCAGGCCTCCCCTCTTAGAATGGCTCGTTTTAAACAGGAAACAGTGGTGCCAGCAGCTGAAAGAATGCCACAGTGATTTGACCTCACTCATCAGTCTCTGGATTAGTTTTGGGTCAGAAAGAAAGCCTCACTAGTTCTTAGACTAGTGGACACAGTCTGCGCTCTCTTAAATTGCATGTTGTAGGAATTTGATCATCTTTGTGAGTTAGCACTGGCTTTTGCTACCATTTGTTACGGTGAAAACCACAAAGACAAAAAAAGCAAATGAGCCAGAGGTAGAATCTTATGTACACTGACCTTACTCATTGTTGCCAGAGCAAGCAGAGGAAGTAATAGTGACTTTTGCTCTCAACTTACTTCCCCCCAAACTTCTCTCTCCAAAGTTCACAAAGTAAATGGAATTCTCTCCCATTATTCACCACGGCAGCTGCTGCTGTTCTGTGAATATCTGTGCTCACTGTTGTCAACACACTGAGAATCCATCTGCAGCACTGCTTTCTAGCAATGTCTAGCAATGTGAGAAAGGTAGGGGCACCATCAGGCATCACTTCCCTGTTCTTGGTGCCCTCCACCTGCTGATAATTTTCTTTGCAAATGAATCTACCTTCCTGTGACTCACCATTGAGAGTAACTTGCAGGGCTCTCCTGCGTCCTTGTAGGAGGGGTCTCGAGGCCCCTGGGCCACGTTTCACACACTGCTGATGGACTCTGCTGGCTTTTACCAGCCAGCCAAGTGTTGCGTGAGTGTACATGTTGCAGTAATCAAGAATCCCTCATCTTATTATTACAAAACAAAGCTGGAGATAGCTTTCCTTTCTTATAGTTTTAGTTCAGTAGGAAGCCACTGAAGTGAGCATCTTGCCCATGCCCTCTCGTAACTGACTGGGGAGAAAGCGGGAGTCATGGTGATTCTTCCCAGCAGCTGTGATCCCCCCAGGATCTCCCTAGATTGTCAGAACCTTTGCACCGCCGTC